CCAAGTTGCCCAGGTGGGTCTCAAACCCGCGGGCTCAGGCAATCTACTCACCTCAGCCTCTCAAAGTGCGGGTTACAGGCTGAGCCACCGAGCCTGACTCCCCTTGGTTTTTGTTAAGTGTAAATTCTAATGCTATGTTAGAAGAAATCTATCATGGTTGAGTTTATCAACATCAAAGGAAAAAAATGTTGGGATGTTTAAAATGTTCAGTAACCTACTCTTCGGCCTGCTTGTGCCATCATCATTTTTGTGCTATACCTTAATGTCCTCTTGACTTAGTGTTAAAAGTTTACCCTCTTGTTACAGCCTGCCTGGGTTCCTGTGCCCACTGACCAAAACTGACATGGCCATTAGAGTGGAGAAGGAGTTTAATAATATCACAAAGCAGCTGAGGGAGGAAAGCAAGAAGAATTACTCAAATCTACCTTTTCAAGAATTCGGGGAATAGGGTTATATTTTTAGTACTTTTTAAAAGAAATTTGCCTCTATTTATTTATTTGAGTTAGAGGTCTCGCTCTGGCCCAAGCTGGAGTGCAGTGGCATCATCACGGCTCACCCCACCCTAGAACTCCTGGGCTCAGGTGGTCCTTCCACCTCCCAAATAGCTGGAACTGCAGATTCTTGCCCACACACCCAGCTAATTTCATTTGTTTTTTAGAGACAAGATCTTACTATGTTGACTAGACTGGTCTTGAACTCCTGGACTCAAGCAATCCTGCCTTGGCCTCCCAAAAGTGCTGGGATTTTTTTTTTTTTTTTTTTTTTTTTTGAGTTGGAGTCTCACTCTCTCGCCCAGACTGTAGTGCAGTGGCTGCCCCCAGCCACCGCAGCGTTGACCTGCTGGGCTCCGGCAATCCTTCCACCTCAGCCTTCCAAGTAGCTGGAATTTCAGGCGTGCGCTACCATGCCCGGCAAATTTTTAATTTATTGTAGAGATGAGGTCTCACCAAGTTGCCCAGGCAGGTCTCGAACCCGCGGTCTCAGGCAATCCACTCACCTTAGCCTCCCAAAGTGCTGGGATTACAGACTGAGCCACTGAGCCTGGCTAGTGCTGGGATTTTAAAGGAACTAGGTGGGCAGAGGGAGAGGGTCTGTTGGTGGGTGATGTCATGAAGGGCCAATGTCAAGACAGTCTTTCTGATAGAGGACTTCCTGGTGTTTTGGCCTGGGAAGGGATTAGGGTCCACCAGAGTACAAAGTCTGAAAAAGATCTCAAATGCCATTCTTAGGTTTTACAGTAGATGCTGTCTATAAAGTCCCATGGCCACTAGTACTACACCCTGCCTTCCGTCCAGCCTTTATGGAGGTAGTCTAGGAGGAAGGTGTTGGGGGAAGGTAGGGTCTCTGGAAATTGACATGGCTGTTCTCAGGCGGTCTTAGTTCCATTGTTTTAAGAGAGATTGTATTGATAAGCCTTGCCCCTCTCCCCAGGGGTCAAAAGGTAATTTTATAAAGACAGTTGCACTCTAATTAGTTTTCTTAGTATAATTATGCCATATTTTTTATACCCATATTCGTTTTTTGAGTGGTTGGATTGTGTTAAGAAATTACATGAATGGGTGAGGTGCGGCGGCTCATGCCTATAATCCCAGCACTATGGGCCAAAGTGGGCCCAGGAGTTTGAGACCAGTCTGGGCAACATAAACCACCATCTCTATTAAAAAGAAGAAAATACATGAATGATATTTTAAAGTATTCAGAACATCTTAATTCTGAGTTTGCTTCAGAAAGTGAGAATGTCACATCTATAAATCTCCAGCAATTAACCTTTAAAGTTTTTTTTGTTTTATAGGAACAAGAGTACAGCTGTGTAGTAAAGATGCCTTCTGGTGAATTTGCACGTATATGCCGAGATCTCAGTCATATTGGAGATGCTGTTGTAATTTCCTGTGCAAAAGATGGAGTGAAATTTTCTGCAAGTGGGGAACTTGGAAATGGAAACATTAAGTTGTCACAAACAAGTAATGTCGATAAAGAGGAGGAAGCTGTAAGTAGTTGTTAAGTAAATAGAAAATACTTTGAAAGGAATTGTAACATTGCTTAACACGGGTTAATTGTTAAAGAAGAATGGACAAAATTGCATCCTAAGTAATGTGTGAAAATTGAAAGATTATGCTGAAATCTGCAAGTGATTTATAAGTCCCATACAATGAGAAGTTTATGAGAAGGGACTACAGATTCAGTGTTGCTTTTACAAACCACAAATCAGTGGGTTTGTGGATCAAGTCCACATATTTGAGGATAGGTTTGGGGAGGTAGGTGTCTAACCTTTAGCTATGTGGAGTGAGCATAGAATAGCGACTTAACAGGATGTAGTTGGGGTAAAAGTCTGTTGTGAGCGCTTACATAATCCTTATATTACCTATGTGTTGAAGGTCCAATTGCTACCTCATATTAAAGGTGGAGAAGCAGGCTCTGCACAAACTTGTGACGATGTAGTCAAAGTCTAAGAACCACTAAAGCTAGAAACTAGATGCCATGCAACTAAATATTAAATACTGACTAGCATGTAAATTCCTAAGCTTTTCCCCCCATTATTTGAAAATAAGAGTGCCACATCTTTAAATTTCCAGAGTCCTCATTCAACCAAAAGATAACTCCTATTCCTAAATCAAGGTTTTCCTATAATCAAGTGTTTCTTTATGTCCTTATTTATTATACACTAATAAATATGGTTATTACAGTAAAATTTTTAAAACTGGCTGGGCTCGGTGACTCAGCCTGTAATCCCAGCACTTTGGGAGACTGAGGCAAGTAGATTGCCTGAGCCCACGGGGTTGAGACCAGCACGGGCAATTTGGCGTGACCTCATCTCTACAAAAAAAATTAGCCAGGCGTGGTAGCATATGCCTGTAGTTCCAGTTATTTGGAAGGCTGAGGCAGAAGGATCACTGGAGCCCAGGAGGTCGACACTGTGGTGGCTGTGAGCGTGCCACTGCACTCCAGCCTGGACAATGGAGTGAGACCCCAACTCAAAAAAAAAAATTTTTTTT